AATAAAATAAAATAAAATAAATATTATTGTTCTGAAAGATCACACACTTCCAGGTCCGATGGCCCTAAAGAGCAGAGGGCTACAGAATTGTGCAAACCATACTACAGTACCATATACTCAGTCCTGTCAGGAACAGCTTACATAGTGGCCTGACTGAAATAAATTTTTATTCTGACACATTTAGAACATACTCCCAATTGTTGCTCTTTCCACTAGGCATTTTAGCTTGGCAGTGCCTAAAAAGCTGCAAAAAGTTTCATCAGCTTCTTTCTAATAACACAGGTATAAAATAAATACCAACAGATGGTCTAACTCCTAAACTGTTTTATCAAACACACTTTAGAGGTTTGCTTTGTATCCGAAAAATCATCATCCAATATTACCACTAATTAAGTTTCTTCTTTCAGAAAAAGTATAAAAGTGCCAAGATATCTTCTCACTGATATAAAACATCAAAAGCTTAGAAGTACTTTTAAAAGAAGGAATTATATTAAATCTCATGAAGCCCAAGGATCTATATGCTTATCTGGCAGGAAGTTTGACTGATGATTTCACTGAGGCTTTAGTTCTCTTTATACAAGAATGTAGCAACATTTTAATTAGGAAATAAATAGAAGATTCAAACATGCTAGTACCTAAATTACCTCTAACTACATTTCACATGCAAAAGGTGATGCATGAACACAACATAGTCATCTTCTTACAGTTCTCCTAGCTTTTCCTAGCACTGCTTCTTCTTTTTTTTCAAATCGTAAACCTTAATTAACAAAGGGAAAAGGAGAATAGCATGCAGTCACTATTTTTGCTCAGCCTCTGACTGAGGTACAGAGGGAGTGAGCATCCTGCTCTGGGCAATGTTATGTTGGGAAGCCAACACAATTTCTTTCTCTTAAAGAGATTTGCCTTTTACTTCTGTTAAACATTCTCAAGCAGAGTTCTGAAACTTTCTGAGCTGGTGGGCACATTTGGAATTTGAAAACATGTGGGCCTTCTCACAAAATGGCTGCTTTCAGATCTTCCCCATCCACGGAATGGCAGCCATGGGCATATAACCAAAGGTCTGATTTAGGACTTGTTAGCCTCTCTATCTCCCTCTCCTGCAAGATGCTCCAAATTATCTCAGCTTACCTTTGTTCTTTTTCTAGTCGGGTGGGCATATTTCCAAAGAACTGGGCTGTATCCATCCATCTTTTAAATTTTTTCAAATAAAATAAAATAAAAATTTCTTGCAAATAAAAATGATACTAGAAACTAGCAGTTTGCTTTTCAGCATGAAAAATTCTGATTTTTTTAAATTAAAAAAAATGTTTAAAAGATAGGAAAAAAATAATGTGTCAGAGAGCCTAGTAGCACCAAGGGGTGTCATGCAGACAATTTTTTTTATGTCTTTTAACTGCCCAGAGTTACCGGGAATTGGGCAGCATAACAATAACTATAGTATCCTGGTTCTAAATTATGCTTGTGTTACTTTAGCAGCTTACTAAAGCATCTGGATGATCTGAAGCAGCTCTGAATCTTAGCACCAACACGAAATTTTACACTTGGCTAGCAATTTAACTCTACAATTTTATTTTGTAATTTGATTTTTTGAAAAATTGTGTCTGAAATTCCAGTGGAAATGAATTATGCAAGCATGGCCTCAGATTTAAAACATTTGGAGTTAATAAAGGTAGTCCTCACTGAACAACTGCACTTGGGACCAGTACTCTGCTGCTAAGCGATGCAATCATTAAGTGAAACATCATGTGACTGCTCCGGAGTTATGTCAGTTCCTCTGCAGTCATTAAGTGAATCACCTGCAGTTGTTAAGCTCATCATGTGACCACGACTTGGAACTTACTGCTGATTTCTCCATTGACTTTGTTGTGAAGCTCATGATCATATGACTGTGGGACACTGTGATGGTGGTAAGTTCGAGGACTGGTCATAAAACTACTTTTTCAGTGCTGTCGTAAGTTCGAATGGTTGCTAAACAGGGCAGTGTTAACTGAGGTCTACCTGTAATTCTTAGTAGGGATGTGAACACCCTTCCAAAGAGGTACTTTGAAACATGTAAGTAATTCAACCTCTGCTTGAATTACTAAAGCAGCCACATCTTTTTCCAGGCTTGTGCAGTTTGCTCCTAGGGCTGCTTCCTGCTGTCTCTGCATGCCTGTGTGACAAAGTAAAGGGATTGTGTATGCCCACACATATATATCTGCAGAGATAACTGTGAACAGCTTCTGAAATAGTCACATGAGTCTGGAAAAAGACATAGCTGGTTTAATGATTCAAAGACAGATGCTTTGCTTATGCGGCTGCACTTTGTAAAGTATCTCATTCAGATGCTTTGCAAAGACCTAATATTTAGTGTGCTCAGAAGGGAGATATTTAGTGTGCATGGGTGGCACCAAGGCTTTTTTCATCACAGATGTGCAAATGCTTCCCAACTGTTGAAAGGAAGAAATCACCCTTTCTGAATAGCAGCCTAATCCCTGGTGGCTTTCACAGGCCAGAGTTTTTGGACAAGACAGGATGGAAAAGAAATAGCCAGTTCAGCTGCTGTTGTTTCTCTGAACCCCTTGGATAAGAAGGGCAGGAAGCCTCTGGGACTTGTAACAACAAAGAAATTGCTGTGTTGAATTGTGATTTTTCTCCCTGCACTGCTCACTTTGCAATCCAGAACAGCAAGAGACAATGGGAAAAGGGCAGAAGGGCAGTTTAGAAATCTACCTCTCCACTTTATAGGCAAAACTGAAAAAATAAAGAACACCAGCCACTACGATGAAATGCCTGCAATGATATTAGGGAGGGAGAAAGAAAAGGAATTGCCCTCTCCCTGCACTGGTGTGGACAGAGCACAGCCTGATGGATATACACTTAAGCACTACATCAGCATTGTGTGGGAAATCTATTGCAATTCCATTTGTAGGATCCAGGGGAAAAGCAATAAGTGTGTAGCTCTAGGATTTTGTAGCCTGGGTTGGTTCATGATGTGAGGTTCTAGGATGTCTTGGTGCCAGTGACTCATGAGACTATGGAAACTGATTGAGCCAGAGTAATAAAGTAAATGAATGACTTTACAATCCGTCACTGTGCAGCACTGGGTAATATCAGGCCTTGCCTTGCCAGTACAGAATCCACCTATCCAGTTCGGACATCTAAGTTCACTTCAGACATCTACCTTATGATATTCAGAGTGCTAACATTATTTAGTTGTTTTGTTTTTTATAGTATTGTATTTTGATTCTGTTGTACACCACCCAGAGTCTGTATGGATTGGGTAATTTATAATGAGGGAGGGAGGGAGGGAGGGAGAAAAACATAGATCAGATTTATGATGAAGTGTGTTCCTGGCTGAATTAGCTGCTGTATTTTCCATCTTCCTTTAGTCTAAAAGAACTTCCATCTTCCCCATTTACATCTAGTTCAATAAACTAATAACTCTGCTGATGTCACTGAGGGCCCTGGAAACTTTCTTACTCTTACACTCAAATAAAGGGAATAATTGTCACCTCCTTCTGTATCTATCATGCAACAATTGGTCTATATCACTTCCATGATAATACCTGATGGCTTCAAAGTGT